ATATAATTACGTTAATTTCATTTAAAGCAAGTGCAAATATCACTTACAAGTACTGCAGTTACTTGCTTAGTCGTAAAACATTGGGAACCAGTTGTCATAAGAGATCTGTCATCACTTCAAATGTTCAAATGAAAGCTGCTGGAACCAGATGCAATTACTTACATCTGCAATGGTGTAATTCATTGTATTGTTTTAGCTTATGATAAATAACCATAAACATCTTTGGACAATAACAAGAGATTATATTAAGTCTCTAAAACAGAGCTAAAGTAAATTGTTGGTTTGTTGCACAAACATGTACTGCGTACTTTAGACCGAAAGGGAATGAGCTCTGGGAGAGAGGATGGTGGCTGGAATCTTCCACCACCTCCATTTACTTTGAGGGTGTGAAAAGTAAAGGTGTTCTTGACTCTTTGTGTTTGCTTTTTGGATGTATGACACAGCAAATCTTTTGAGAACCTTAGAGGTCAGGGGTGTAGTATATTTTATTAAATGTTTTCCACATCATCCGAATCACATTGGTAGCTCTATTAGCCCCTGCAGTGTCCTGACAAGGAAGGGAAGAGGATTTTTTATTTTTGTTTCACTCTTCCTCCCCATTCCCCTTGCCTGAGCATTATGAGACAGAGAAAGCGTATTGAGTTAAGAAGCATGGTCCAAATCTTGTCTGTTTTATGTCTTTGCACTGAAGTCTGGTGTCTTAGGAGATGTGTATAATTTCCTCAATTTATTTATAAAACTGTGTGAGTTACTTTGATTACTAACCTTGCCTAAAACCCAAGCCTATAAATGGAACGACTAACCCCTTTGACAATAGCAGTAATCTCTCAGATGAAAGGGGTCGCATAAACTTCTCTGACTTTTTATCTAGGTGATAGACTGCACTCACCTGTGAGTTACTGAAAGAACCTACGGTTTCTGCTCCGCAGTGATATATTGTTGAGTTGCCAGTCTCTTCAGTGCAGTGTCAAAAGTGTGAGTTATGTCCTCTATGGCTGGACCACATCGTAGATTAATGTTTTAGTTGAAAAGATGGATGTCTGTATTGGGATGCAGAAGTCCAAGAGAATAGTAAGCACAAAGTATTGTACACAGTTGACCAGTAGCATGAATTCAAGAGAGTGAACTAAATTCCTCTTACAAACAAAACTTTTTCCTATATTGCATGTGATGTGCTTTCATGTACCCAAATACACCCCCATTCCATGCATTTCACATCTAGCAAGTGATTGAATTTTGCCTTTATGTCCTCTTAAAATATAAAACTGACTCACCAGTTCATGTTAGCCTTTGTTTCACATAGCTTAAGCTGTACCACTCCCTTTTGTAAACTAGAAAGCTTCCTGTAGCCCTCAGTTTCCCACAACATTGCTGCTGAATGGTTTGCCGGGCTTAAAATGGTAGGGAGGGATGAGACCAGAAGTACTCAGTGTGGTAGAGGTAGCTTGGGAGAGGTGGTGTCTCTGATCCTTTGGCAACAGAAAATCTCCCATGTTGTGTTCCCTTGTAGGGCTTTCTGCATAGCAGGAGAATACCTTTCCCTATTCTGTATTTGTCATTTTTCCTCCAGGAAACTGGAATTGATGGTTAACTGAAATAACTCTCAGGCTTGTGCTCTTCCCTAAGCTGCCCTTGGTGGATGGTATATCAGGGTATGGCTGTTTACTTATAAAATTTCAGAAGCTCATCCAAGATGATCAGCTTCAGTGAGAGAATTTAATGGTCAAGTTTCTTGGAGGTTAAAAATGCGAATACTTCCTGTTGCAGCACTGCTGAGAGAACTAAATTGTGCTTTCAGGACTAAGTGCGAGATGTGAATACAAAGTATAATGATAAGAGGGATCCTATATAAAAGGGATTAGTCCTGTATTTGTTATTAAGGGCAGTAGTTCTATTTTAAAGTTACAGCCAAGCACAAAATTTTGCATCTCTATTAAATATTGTCCCTGCTCAATAAACCTTTTGAGTATGTGTTGGAATCTGAAGCATGTGCTTAACTGCTTTGCTGAATTGGGGCCTTCATTACCAAATTGCAGGTGTATGTTAGCTTAAGTATTTAAGGAAAAAAAAAAGTAAAACAATGCTTATTTTGTTCTGTTCAATGTAGTTTGTTACATTAATGGAAAACATCAGAAATGCTGTGCTGTTGCTATGCTGTCTGAAACAGATTTAATATAGTTAATGGCTTGAGTGTTCAGTATGAGATAGGGTCCAGTTAAGAATTAACATGGAGTGATGAAATGAAAATTTAAAAATGAAAGTGAGATTCTACTTTTTTATGCATGATATTATTGTAGAATGAGGCTTTTAAATGTTTTCCTGTTTAAAAGTGTGTTTCAATGATATTTTGTAAATTCTTATGTGGATATTAGAGCATTTATTATATGTGTGCAATAGCTGGGGCTCTGTAAACATTTCCATAATAAACTTCTCTGTATACTAGGGCTTAATAACTTGCTCATAAAAATGTGCTTTGGGCATAAAAGTGGTGTACTGGTCTGCTAGAAAGCTTGTGCTTTAAAAATAAATAAGATTATTTAAAGACAGAGATTTGGAAGGAAACTGAAGAAAAAGTGTGCTGTACCTAACTCATTCCTGATAAATATTTGATCAATATGTTCTTTAATAAATAAAAAACCCACTTAACTAGACAAACTAGTTCAGTGCTGAGCTAATCTTTCTAGCATACTTCAAGTCTGAACTTTCACTTTTAAATCTCTTGCTACATGAAATGTTCATACATGTAATGTAAATAAAGCATTAGTTCCCTATTTTCAGCTACATCTCATAGGTTTGAGAACTTGCCTGGCTTCTTTAGATTTCTTTTTGCTAAATTTAAGTGGACAAAGGGGTTTGAGTGTTTCTTTATTAAACGTATTTTCTCAGTCTCTGATAATTTCAGTTATTTCCTTCTGGAAAGTCTCCCATTAATCTACACATTTCCTAAAGAGTAGTGTCCAAAGCTGGGCACATTGCTCTTAGGCCTGTGAAGAAAGCAGGAGGATTATCCTTCTGTGTATTCTGGGGTGCTTCATTCTTTGATCTAAGTATCTGTACAATGGCTACTGTATAGAGGCTATTAAATAGAGTACTAGTTAACAGTTCCTTAATTGTTTCTTTTGCTGGCTGGCTTGGCGAGAAGAAACTGTCACGATAAACAGAAGAAGGAAACATGTTTAGAGAGGAAATGAATATTGATTTTTAGCACACCTGTTAGATATACATCCATGTAACATTGTCTTGTATCAGTTTTGGTATGCAGACCTGTAAAATAAGCTTTTCTGTAAGATAAGATACCTATAAAAGGCCTATGGTCTGTTAACAGGGAAATAATTATTTAACTGTAAAACCTGGCTTTGCTTCACTAGCGTTTTACTGAAAACCACGGTAGCTGAGAGCTATTGATTCATATTTTAGTTTCATATGAAAAGTTTCAAAATAAACATTTGTTTTATTTTCCTGATACTTTATTCCATCTGGAATTGGAGAAATAAGCTGAAGGATTGTCTGTATTTTTACTGGCTATCCCCCCGATGATTTTTCTCTTGCAGAATAACCTCAGTGTTGCTTGTGGTATATTTGCTCTCTGAAGCAGAACCACTCAGGCACACGTGCTTTCCATGCAAAAAGTAAATCAGCACTGTATAAAACACATCAATGTAATAGGGTTTGTATTACTGTGGTGCTACCTGTGTAGTTTCAGTAGTCCAAAACACCTTTGGCACACTGAGGTCCTTTGTTACCTGTCACAAATGTGGGCCTGTAACATGCTATAGGAATTGTACACTAGAGGGCTTTTTTCCTTTTCTCCACCAACATAAAATTAGCTAGAGCTACATGGTGCTAAATGAACCCACCAGATCTTTGCTTCTTTGAGGCATTCCCTTATTTAAAATATTGGACTATGATGAGAAATAGGAGAGAAAAGCAGTGAAATAAGGTACATTCTGGCTTACTATAAATGCTACGAAGTCTTTATTTTTACTTAGCAATGCTGTGGAGGAGCAGAGAAGTACTTGCTTCTCTTAGCAATGTGTCTTCCGACTAAGACAAATCTCACAAGTCTAGATTGAGTAGGTGTTCGCTTGCATGTTTGTTAGCTTTGAGATTCTTTAGGAAAAGTTCAATTTGATACTGGGGTTTTTTTGACCTTTACATAAATATGTATATTAATATAATTTGCAGGTAACCAGGACATTTGAGGTGTGGTCTGGAGTAACAGTATATACATTTAGTAGAAAGTTTTGGTGTTTACTAGATTATGGTTTCAAATCAGTTGGGTTTCATGTTCATCTCTGGTATTTTACAGTAAAGTTCAAAATGAATATCGTGTATTGTGAAAGACATAGACTTTTCAGTAGGTATAAATCTTCATATTTTCATTCAGGGTTTGACCTTGAATGGATGCATAGGCATGAGAATAGATAGTGTGCAGTTTTCTTTTTTGTCCTTGCTGGATATAAACTGAAATCCCTCAATGATATTTCCCATAGGAAGGTATATGAAATCAAACGAGGGACATAGTCCCTTGAAAATAAGGGTAAGTGAAAAATAGAGTTGAAAAACAGCCAAATAGTGTGAGCAATATTTGCATATGCATTTTTAGCTATTGCAAATTAAGGCTTAATTTCCAGGTGAAATGGAGTGTGGAGTGAATTTGAAGAAATAAAATGGGAGAGTCCCAATTTCTTGAACATCTTTCTCTTATATTTTAGCTGTATTATTGAGAAATAGAAAGCAATTAGCTTCTAATGATGTAGTTGAATGAAATCTGAAAAAAATGACATACATATACATATTCTTTTTCTACTTTCATACTTGTTTTTCATTCATTGCCTAGTACTCTAACAATGCTGAAGATTTCAGACGTGTTCTGCAGATGACAGCTAACAAATTTGTATTTACCAGACATAAAATGTTGCCATTGTATTATCTAGTGCTGTTCAACAAACATTGGAAGAACAACCAAGTAACTTTTTATTTTTCTGTTGTCTTCAAAGGGACATCAGAGATGGCTTCAGAAGAAAAAGCTTCTATCCTTCTCATTATATGAGAGAGCGATCCCCTCATAAGAGGGACTCTCCTTTCTTCAGGGAATCACCAGGGAGCCGAAGGGATTCTCCGCACAGCAGATCTGGCTCTAGTGTCAGCAGCAGGAGCTACTCTCCTGAAAGAAGCAAAGCCTATCCTTTCCATCAGTCCCAGCATAGCAGAAGTATGTCATCTTTACATAAAAGAAATATTTCTTCTCAGCAAGGTAATGCTGGATTAATGATGAGAACTGGTTAGTGAGGTGAAACTGCAACTCACTGTATAAGCCCTTTTTTTTTTTACATGCTGTCTTTTACAATGAGAAAACTAGACATTTTGTACCAGTTATGTGTTGTCTGCTCTTTGGTTGTTTCATTGTACTCTCTGTTCCCTTATGTATTTCATGTGGGAGATTGCAGGTGTTATTTCAGTAGCAGCTCTAGACTGACTGTAGGAGTTTCAGCTGCACAGCTTTTTCTAGTATCATATGGGTTTTTTTTTCCTTTTAGCATCAACTGCTTCTGTTACTTCTTTATGTGCGTCATTGGATTCCCTTACAAGAAACTTTTCTGTCATCTGTAGCAGATGAAGACTTTTCTTCCTGCAACCAGGGGAAAAGAGAGATTAAAAAAATTGGAGAAATAAAAGTACATACTGCTATATGTTACATTTTCTGACAATATTCTTAGAACTGTATTATTAGCGTTTTGAAGCTGTTTTTTTTTTAGCAATTTCATCTCATCGTCAGATTGTCTCAAATCTTGCTCTCCTTGAAGAAATGTGGAACATATATCAGTTAAATCTATACTGTGTACATTCTGCCTTTTGAAAGCTTGGCTCTTAATCTTCCCTGGAAGTCTAACGAATCATCTGTTTTGAAAATATTTAAGGTTTTCTTATTTAAATAATTTGCAAAAGAAAAGGCAAAGTTGTTTTTTTTAGTATACTACAATCTTAGCCACTGCTGTTTGTACAGTGTATGTAAGTTAATCCAATTTGATTTCCCTTTCTGCAAGTGCTTTCTAGTGAACTGTACAAGCCTACTGTTCATTTTGGCAGCTTTTTAAAAATTAATTAGATTTTTCTTTTTATTCACTGATAGGCATATTGTGTGTTTCCAGAGTGGCACGCTGGACCATTATGTAGCACTTCTTGCCAAAAAAGATCTTGTGGAGTTTAGTTAATATTGTTTAAATATTGAGGAATCACTTCACTCCTTGTAGAATACAAATTATCTTTCTAGCTCATCACTGCAATTCCTTTAGCGTTTTGTGCCAATACTCAGTGAACATGAATTCCTGTAGGTGTAGGAGAGGAAGAGAAAAATATTATATTCAACTAAATTTGTAGAAGTGTTGTAGATGTGCAGATCATAATTACCAGGAACAGGAAAAAAATGTTGTGAGAAACCATATAAAATTTTGGAATGTTTCAGCGTTTTCCTGAACTTTTGAGCCATCTTCTATCACATTTGTAGTATATTGGCAGAATTACTCAAACAGTAGTGGAAGTAGATAAGTAGAAGCAGACACCTTCACAAATCAGAGAAGATGTTGGTCAAGAGAGGAGTTTACATTTAAGTCTGTGGCTTTGGGAATTTTTTTTCCAATTGCATGGTTAAACAGCTGTCCCCATCATCTTTAAATCAGTTTTAAGAGACCAGATGGCTTGTACACTGGACTATTTCTTTATAACTACCTGTTCCCTGGAAAATAGTACTACTAAACTGTTCCTCTAGATGACTGAATTAAAATGGCCTATTCGCAAAGTATAAGTGGCTTAAATAATACTTTTAGAATCATGTTTGAATATAATTTGTCTTAGGTAAGCTCATGTATTACATATTTAAAAGGATCGTAAAGTGGGACATATCTCATATATGTCAGCAGTACATTTTAGTCTGTACTTAAATGGATCTACAACATGCGAAGTATATACTATTTCATGCAGAACTTATAATAAGGTGTATTTTTCAATATCATAATACTGTTTAAAATCATGCTGTCTGAATCAGTTTAGCCTGATGACTTCCACTGAGGGAGGAATATCCCACGCTCTCCAGCCCTTCATAAACTGGGATAAATACAGGATTTGAACAAAGAAAACTGGGGGGACATAAAGAAGCTTGGTAAACGGAGGGAAAGCGCTGATGGGGAGGGACGGGCATTCAGCCGTGGTGGGAGAGCATGGAGAGAAGCAGGGTGGTATTTCTTCACCAGGCTTGTCGGTAAGGGGTCTGTGGAGTGGTATGCCGAGGAGATGCAAGAAGGCAAGAAGTGGTGTTCAGAAGGCATCATGTTTGATTGTACAGCTAGGGCTTGTGGGTTCCAAATACCCACACGCATTCAGAAAAAATGGCCTTATAATGTCTCCAGATTAAATGGTGGTTTCTCTCTCTGCTTAACTTCGAATAATTTACTGCCACTTGTATCAGCTTATTTCATCTATTCAAGTGCAAACATATAATCCATTGAACTGAGATAATCTTTAAAGAATCCAGTGTGATGAAGGAGACATGTAGGAGGCAGAGTTAGAGTAGTCTGTATATTTAAAAGGAGGTAGCTCATCCATGGGGCTGAAAAGCAGGTATCACAGGAGCAAAACTTCTGTGTTACTTGGTGGTGTCAAGGGAGACATACTGTGCTTTGGGGAGCGTGACAGATTAAAGACATAATTATTTCTATCTTCACGTTTTTGGCTTTGTCATATACTTTGTATTTATAGGAACTTTTAATTTTTCACGGTTTTTCTTTTTGCTATTTCTTTTCATTGTTAAAGAGCTTCTTTAGTTAAAGGTAATTCATAATTCATCTTTTGTTTTATGGCTACTAGAAATTCTTAAATAAGGCTGCTGGCTGTTTTTTGAGTATGTTCTCCATTTAGCATCATCGTCACATTGAGGGCAAAAGTGCAATTTGGAATGTTTGCTTTGCCAGAGTAACTTCCCCAACTATTTTCAGTAGCATTTTTGAAAGACCTATCAGTAGCTGTGAAGATTTTTGCATGGATTAGTAGGCCTTCAAAATCGTAGCAATAACTTACTTGCCTCTAACAATGTGCAGAGATGAGCAGGTGTTTGATCCTTGGTTTGTATTAAGTCTACACTATACATATGGTATGAAAATGTGGGGAAAGAGTAGAAGACCAACTTTTCAAATACCTCTTAAACATTTCCTGTTGTTAAAAGTGCGCATTTTACATAGACTTCTCCTTACATTATTTGTGTAGGTAGCAGTGCATTTTAAAAAACACAACACAATTCAGTCTTATTTTGTGGCATTGAGTAAAAAAGGAAAATAGCTCAGCTATTAGGAGTGAGATGCCATGTTTGCTCTTTATTGCTTTGACTCATTAAATTAAAGCCATATTTGTTTATCGTTCTACTAAAATAATTTATATCCCAATTTTCATAAGTATTTGATTGACTTTTTGATTCATACCTTTCTTAATTGTATTGATACAAATGTAATGGAAGCCAAGGTAAGTCTATATTGTTTTCCATTTGTGAACAGTCAACCATTTCTCAATGAGTGTGAATAGTCCAGTTAATTTAGGCCTACTGACAACACATTTGCTTTTCATATTTACCTTTTGCAGGTCCCTTAGATGTAATCCATGGACCACAGGTTGAAAACTAGTAGTTTACACTGCAACCAGTTCTGCTGCTGCGGGCTGCCTGTAACTGGTCTGTGGCAAGGCTATGCACAGACTGTGATTAGCACAGTGAATTTGAATTGTCATTTTGCAGATTTTAACTCTTACAAGAAAAACACTGATAATACAAAGAGCGTCTATCCTGTGGTTGATAGAATACAGGACTGTTTCCCATGGCAGGGCTTTTCAACATACTGTGGCTTGCTAAACCAGTTCCTACACTGCCTGGTTTCCTGGAGTGATTGACTGGTGTCTAATATTTCAACTGTTTCTATTATTACAGGAATATTAAAAAGTAAAACCACATCATCTTGCCAAATCATATTGATACACCCTTTCAGTTAATGTTTAAAAGAAGGATAATGGGTTTTCCTAAATATGTGAAATAATATAGCTGTATCTTTTCTCTGTTTGTAAAGAGAAGAAAGTGTTATCGATATTTATCAGATGGTGGAGCATGTAGATTTCATGTCTGTCTTGAGCAAATTTCACTGCAATTTTTCTAAGCCAATAAGTATATTTTCAAGGTATATCTTTAATATAATTTTACAGTCATTAATTTTTTTTCTTAATTGTAGGTAAAGAGAGGACGTCAGTTCAATCACTGAAAACATCAAGAGATGCATCACCTTCAGGCTCCACAGCAGTACCCTCATCAAAGGTGAATGTTCTTTTTGAGTACTTCTCACCACGGTTTGAGATTGCTCGTTGTTGTTGGATTTTTTTCCTCAATTGGAAGGAGATACTGTACGCAGCTGTTAAACAAAGGAGCATCCTGACTTGCTCTGCAATCCAGCAGAGGATAAGTTTCCCTTTATCTGGCAGTAAGGTGCTGATAATGCTGTGTATCTAATGATGACACTGACAAACCTTTTTATTCTGTATTCACTGTCTCATTTTAGGAGAAAGGGAGTTTTGTATGTATTTAAAATTGTAATTTTCCAAAGTCAGGAATGTGCTAGAAAAGGAATGGCAAGGAGAAAAACGGGGAAGCAGTTTTTAGGAGCAACAGATCAATTGGACAAGCCTGTACTTGCACTGAACTTCATCCTTCAATAATTCCTAAGCTGTGACTGGATTTGGAAACAGTGTGGTGAAGTGTCTGACTGACTGGGAAGATAAAGTGAATAGCAGAGTTGGCTTGGAAGCAGGGCTGCTCGAGGATGTAGCAAGAATGATAGCGTTTACTTGGGAAGGCAGCCACATTGCAAGATAGTTTGGTAAATGCTGTTTTATGTTCTAAATGATGCTGTTTAATTTCCCATCAAAAAAATCTTGTGGGCTGAGCACCAACTACACCATCTTGCTAATTAGTTAAATGGACAGGCTAATAAACACTAATGAACAATCAGCATTCAATATTGTTCTGGCTGTCCTGTGGCAGCAAAAACATTTTTTGCATCACGTACTGCTTGCCTGTAAATTATATCTGAGGTTAAAATGAACACTTCCACAGGAGTATTTTCTCTGAATTGTTGAGAAATACTTTAATGAGAAGTAAAGAAACAATGCATTATATTGTTCGAAGTGAATAAGGTCCTATTAAAAAGTAGTATTTGCCCTAAATAGCATGGTGTACTAGCCTGGTTGTTGAGGTTTTTTTAATAAAAGCAGTGGAATGCTTAAACAAAAAAAAATGGGAAGAAAGAAAGGTACTTTTTGTTGTGAGAAGGTGAGACTGAAGGAAATAATTAGGTGGGGAAAAAATCAGGCTTTGGTTGTGCTATGTCATTCTAAGTATTTATCCCTTATGCAGCTCTTTTAGAACTGCTGTGCTAGGCATTAGCTAATTGCCAATGTCCTTAAGGGGGGTGGTGAGCGATATATTTTCAGCAATGTAAATAAGGAAAGTAAGATAAAAGCTGTTATGCACAAGTTGCACTGGTTTGGATTATAAAATAAACTTTATAATTAGTTCATGTATTTTGCTTACAGACTCCGCATACTACAACTCAATACCAAATCTTTGCTTAATACAAGCCTTTCAGAACAAGGAGCCATTGCAAAATCTCTTGCTCTCGTATCAAAATTCAGTGTGAGCTTGAACTATAAAGTATTCTTTAAATGTTTTGCTTTCTTCTTCAGTCAGGTCTGATCTATGCTGTATTGGTTTTTTTGCCAGTAGTTTGCATATATCTACTGGCAGTGGATATCCACTTGGTAAGCTACACAACATGAAACTTTCTGTTTGATGGAAATCATTTCCCCCCACAACACGAATATTTATTGGGTATGCATCAGCTGCAGAAATGGAAGTACTTCAGTGACCTTTTATTGCTTTTTCTCTTGACATCCCAGAATCTGCTTGTAATATACTGTCTTGTGTCAGTGGAGCCTCTTGGGGTGATGGCCGGATTACACTGACCAGTTAAGTGATATAAGTGTTTCACTGACATAGAAATATCGACAGAAAAAGTCTTGGCAAAACATAATGAACATGTCTGGGGCCAAGGTATTACAATCTACTTAGACTTCAGAAATGAGTCATATACTTCATTTTATAGATTAAAGGAGAAAATTTTCAATGCTCTAAGTTATAATTTAGCTTTGAAATACTTACAAAGGTATATGCTTCCGCAGCAATATCTCTTTTCACTGTAGTAACTATATGCAAATCTGAAAGGTATTCTTATCTGTCTTATAATTAATTTTTTACATATTCATGCATGTGAATGAATACATGTTGGTGTTATCTGATCTTAACCACCTGTTTAATTGACTGCGGCATGAAATCTTTTGTGTTTCTCTTTAATAGCTGTCTGGACTGCAAGCCTTGGAGGCTATATCCAACATAATTAGAGCAAAAGGCAGATGTGTGAGACAGGGAAAGCTTCCCAGCAAAGATAGCAGAAAACTGACAGGTTTTTGCTGTTCTTATGTTATGTATAAGGTAAAAAAAGAAAAGAAGACACCTCTGTTTTGAGACAGGGGGGGAAAGTTTGTTTGTTTTTTACGAGGTATACTAGGTTGTTAATTTCTTGCAAGTTTGCAGCCTAAGTAAATGTATACATTCCTGTTCTTCAGTTGTAGCATACCTGTGGAAATACCATTACTTTATTACATAAAATGCACTCAGGATTTTTTAATGCATATTTATTGACATGTGACCTATAGAATTAAATTTAGTAAGATTAAATTAAACAGATACTTGTTGCTGTATTCCAGTAGATGCTAGAGTGGTTAGTTTCTGTTTATAGCTTGTGGAAATACTGTAAGTCATGTGAGATGTTATTTATCTTCATTTCATGCAAAGCTGACTGTCCCTGACAAAGATACTGGTCTTTCCTTTTGTTAGTATTGGCCAGAGCTACGTTTGAGGAAAGGGAGAGTCTCATAATAGTACCACAGTACAAGATTTTTTGGCAGCTAGGGAAAAGTCAGGTTAAAGGTGAAAGTCAGGCGTACTATGGGGAATAAGAACATGGGGGGAAAAAAACTTGGCCGCAGATAGTTTGTAGTGAGACTAGTGTAAAAATAATTGTGTAGCTTGGAAAGGTGAGCTGAGCTAATTATTCTATGAATTATATTACCCCTTTCTTTTAAGAACCCTCTTTGTGCCCCTGCATATTGAACTTTGTCACCTCCTGACTTCGCTGGTTATAATTCTCTAATTTACACTTATAGAAAAGAGGGATCCCTATTTGAACATTACGTTGCACTTCTCTTCTGGATTCAGATAAAGGTGGTGTCTTTATGACACAATCCTGGAAGGGTTCTGTGAATTGTATACTTATGCCATATTACAGCATAAAGAGATGTTTGGATAATATTTTACTTGAGGTAAGCACAGAAGGTCTGAAGATGAAGCAGTCTTATTACAGGTCACAGTATTTACTTCCTCTGGGCATTGATGTAATTTGGAATGAACAAACGATAAGAGGGGGGAGTGTTGGTTTTTTGGTTTGTTTTTTTTGTTTGCTTTTTTTTGTCCATCTATTTGCTAAGATAGATATTTTCGGGTAGAAATTGTGACAACCTTTTTGAGGCAGTAGGCTTTTTGTATCTTTTTTAGATATCCACCTTAGTGTTGCAGTTTTTAATATTAGAGTTGTATAGATTCTTGGATGGATGCTTCTATGCATACAGTTGATTCAAATGAATTATCCACGTAGCGGTAACAAGATTTATAAAGATAGCTATTCCTAAAATGGTTTTGGTACGAGGGTATTTGTCATTGTCTGTTTGTTGCTCTGTCAGTAAAAGCCAAATTGTATTCTTAGAGGGAAATCAGTTTTAAAATATTATTTATATGAAATCAGTTTTTAAATATTATTTATTAGTATTTCCATGTGAAAAGGTAGATTGGCCATAAAGCCATGACTGACTCTATTATAAATGATGAACATTTCCCCCAAATAAAAAATAATGAATTTTAATGGAAGCAGCTCTGATCATTTAAAGTATGTATAAAATACTTTTTGTTCCTAATTAGCTAAGTTTTTATACCCTACACAGTATTTAATAGTTTAGTTTAAATTTGTTACAACCTTTTATGCCTGAAAATCACATTGAATTATTAGATCACTCCACAGTTGTATCTAATTTCTTGGTGCCCATTCGATCCATGTCTCTTTAAACTCAACTGGTCTCAAGCAATTTTTGTTATCTCTGTCCCATGAATTTAATAACCTGATTCTGAAAATATGGTGCTTTTTTAACATTTTACTGAACTTAATTGAGTTTTCTTTTTTTCTCTCCTCGCTTTTTCTTTTTTTCTCTGCTCTCTCCCCACCCACTTTTCTTTTTAAAGAAATCGGTCAGCGAATGAAATAGCTTCAGCTTCCTTATTTCCTATTCTAAAATGTTTTGGGGATCTGAATAACTGTTTATTTTAGTTTTGAAGATGTTTCGCCATGTGTAAATATATTTCATGTTAAACCTTGACTATGATGTTTTTGTACAGGCCTTGGATAAGAGCAACAGACTATCGGAAAAGGAACTTGCAGAAGCTGCAAGCAAGTGGGCAGCTGAAAAGTCAGAGAAGGCTGATGAAAGCAATTTACCTGAAATAACAGAGTATGATGTAAGACAGGAGTATTAATCGATTTATTTTAAGGTGTTACAACAATAGACTGTTGTTTTTCTGTACTCTCTTGAAAGGCACATTTTGTAACTTACCCCTGAATTTGTCTGCTTATACTATTAAATGTTTGTTGAAAGGGAGCAAGATGGAGACTAAAGCCTTGTGATTTATTTATTTATTTGAAAAAAGGTACAAAAACAGTATTGGTTTTGTTAGTATAATTTTAATTCATGTTGAGCTACAACTGACAAAATGAGGCTCTAGCTCCCCCAGGGATCCTCCAAGAAACTCTTGCACTACTGTAAGTAAGTATGCCTACTGAACTACTAAAATTAGCAAGGGACTTCTGAGTCAAAATACGAACGTACATGTAGAACATAAGACTAGAAGAGAAAACCCTGGTTTATTGAGTTCAGTTCCATGCCATGTCAGCCTGCCATGTCATGTATTCCTTTTCAGAAAGCAGTCCTTCTCTATATTAAAAATTAAGCTTTTGCCTTGGTACTGCAATGGGTGGATGTTTTTTCCCCCAGAACCTTTATTTCATTAATAATCAACATCAATTAATTGTCAGTTTATACCCATCTGTTCTTGCCCTTCCTTGTCTTCTACCCCTTGCTATACTGAAGTGTGATTATAGACCTTTTCAGTCTTCATTTTGTTATGCTGCTCTTGGATAGGATGTCTTTTTTGGATTCTGCTGTGTTAGTGGAAGATGTATTTGTCATTTAAAACAATCTAAATGTCATGTAATGTCTTTTTGTAAAATAGCCTGTTTTAATTCTGTGATCATTTCATCTTCAACTGTCACTTTGCTTCAACTTTAGAGGCACTCTTACAAAAACAAAATAGTACCTACTTTACAAAGTCACATCTTAAACTTTATGATTAATGGGTTTGTATTTTAGATTTGTTTGTAAATAATTGAGGGAAAAGAAAAGCATCTTGGGAAGCATCAGACTTCCTCCTTGTATTTCACACTTGTGGAACCTAAGGGCTAGATTAGAGAAATAAACTCACTGGATCCATATTTATCTGAACTTTTAAGTCCTGTCCATTGATGTGATGGCTGAGCGCATCAGCAGCTTCTTGATACTGGACAGGAGGATCCAGTTGGATAAATAAACTGTTCATTTCCTTCCAGGAAAAAGAAATTTAAAAAAAAAAGAGCGGGGCAGGGAGGGGTTGGAGGGAGGAAAAAGAAGCAGCAAACTGATCCAAGCATGAATGCCATACAGAGGAAAACATATATGTGGACATTTCTGAGAGGTTCAGGAGAGTAACAGTGAAGAGAAATGCCCATCCTGTTCTTGATGAGGGGAAGGTAATGCAAGGGAGGAAAGAACAGAGTGGGCCATATGGAGGAGAGTTGTTTAAAGCTTCCTCTGTGCCTCAGAGAAAACTGCAGTGGCAAAAAGACTCAAAATAAAGACAGACCCAAAATGAAACAATTGCAGTTGATTATGGCTGAATCTGAGATGATTTATTGACTAAGAAAGTGTGCTACAGGAATGCTAATGAAGGAGGTGAGGCATCTCAGTCTGAGTCCTAGAAGAAAGGATACTTCTCACCTTGATTAGTAGGCTGTCATGTATGAATTGCAACAGGTTTTAACTTTTTCCAGTTTATCTTACACAGTGCTTAATAGTTGAATTTTCTGTTGCACTGAACTTTTTAGCAGCCTGTACTCCCTCTCAGGCATTTTGTGATTTACTGCAGTAACAAGATTTGGGATGCAATCTTAATGGTTTGTATTGCTGCTAAGTTTTGAGAGATGCTCATAGGACCACTTAAGCTTCTTTTTTTTTTTTTGTCTAATACCTTTCTCTTTCATGTTAGTTAAGTCTTAAGATTCTCCACCTCTTTATTTTTGATAGTAGAAAATATTTTTATGCATCTTCTTCAATTTTCAAATCTTATTTAAAAAAAAAAATTACTACATTCTACAAATCTGTTCCATAATATTGGATTTAAATATGCTGTAGTAATTTCTTCTCTTTTTACATCTTCTGTATAGACTCCTTGGAGTCAGAGTCTGTTTTCTTTGGGGCAGGGATGCTGTCTTAATTTTTGTTCCAGAGGGAAGCTTATACAATTTTGGTACTTCAGTAAGACTTCTCATATTATCAGGAATCCTTTAACTGCGGAGTTTGCTTTTGCTATACAATAGGTATCTCTGTTCCTTTAATATTAAACCTGTGGTCCTGAATGCTGCAAGAGTTCTTTCTGACAGCATTTTGATTTTGTCGATGCCTATTTACCTTTGATTTTGTTACTTTTATCCTTTCCCAGAAAACTAATCCCACTTTCATGGTGGATTTTTCTTGCTAGCTGGTGTTATAAATATCATATACAAGATTATTCTCAGCAGAAGGGCAGGTAAAGGTTATCTGACATCATTGTCTTTACACAGTTAAGACTGAGTCACAGGTTTTTTACGATGTCATGTTTTCTACGTGTTTAAAATCCATATTTCTGTATCTGTTAGATTGTAGCAATAATACTTCATTAATAGTCTTGATAACCAACTCATTTCTAACTGAATGACTGTATTTGGGTTTTTATTTTTGCTTTCACACTTTGAGGTTTTTATTTTGCTCTCAAAACTCTGATTTTTTTTTTTTATTATTTTTTTTTTTTTAAGGCTGGATCTTCAGCTCCATTATATGTCGAACAAACAGAGGAAACAGAAACAAATATAACGGATAGTACGGAATTATATGAGGATGGCCAGCTTCTTGGCCGCTCAAAAGCAATTGCAACTAAGACAAAGGAGATTGAACAGGTGAGTCCTCTGGGCATTTTGTCACTGATACAGTACCTGTGCAAATGGTTTGAACTGCTAGAAATACGTTGATTTATTTTTTCCTCCTTCTTGGAGCATAATATGACTGTAATCTGACGTCTTGAGATGATGTGATGATAACATCTCCATCTATTTAATTCTGAAGAAGTATGGCATCTGCACATGGGAATTAGTGTTAGTTTTCTGTAACTTACATGAAACACCTGCTGCTTTGCTAGCTAAGAAAATGACTGCTTCTTTGAATAATTGTTTTAAAATCAAATATAATACAGATATTTTCAAATACAATTAAAAAGTAAGGCTTTCTGTGAGATCAAATTATCAAAAATGACTTTTACACTGTAATTTCCTTAGCCTAAATACGTACAGTTTGGCATTGAACACTAGAAGCTGCCTGTTGTTTATTTTTGTTGTTGTTGTGGTTTGGGGGGGTGTTTTGTTGGGGTTTTGTGTTTATTTGGTTTTTTTTTTTAAATCAGCTTTGAATCTCAGTGCCTTTTGTCATTCTCTGAAGATTAAGAACCTTTAAGTTTTGCTTTGACTATAGTGGTTTATATCTGGATGAGGGAGGGATATTGTGTTAAAAATTTGTATCCTTTTCTCTTTTGTGTTGAGTACTTGGGGATTGATTTAATATGAAATGATTTCTATTACTCTTCTTGTAACATTGAGTCTTTGAGGCGGTTCAGTGGAAGTTCATGTGTTAGTCTTTAACATCATGTCACCTCACAGTAAGGAAATTATCTACAGTAACCTTAAATTTCATTTGTCATAAACAATTGAAGTGTTTTGTTTCCATTTTTGTTACTTTGAATGGAGAGTTTGGAGATTTTTCTGACTTGATCTTTCTGACGTAAATGCAACTATGCCCAACGCTGGAAATTGCATTTAAAGTTTATAATTTGTGTGGGAGAAAGAGATGACTTCCTTCAAACTTGCTCTAATTTACAGTGTTTTCAGTGTATGCCTGGGATGGGTGGAAGGGAAGTATCACTTTTCCCCCTCATGATTATCTCATAATAACATCTTCAAGAAAATAGGTTTCTGGTCTTGTTCGAGATAAGCTTATTCTAGGTCTTCGTTTTCCATCTTAATTCCAGTGGCCTTTGTTCTGTTGCCTGTGAGCCCATTTCCCGTACTGTAACACCATTGTTCCTTTTTTCTTAATGCTTGAAAAACAACTTTCTACTCAATTGTTTTTGTTTCTTTTTCTTTTCTTTTTTTTTTTTTTTTTTTAATGTTGACTTTGCATAATCATTTTCCTAGTGAGCATGGCTTTGCATATGTGCTGGGTCTGGCTGGGGTGGAGTTAACCAGAGCATGCTGTAACTTATGAGGGTCATGATGCAGTTTATTTATCCCTGTGTGTCTGATCGCCAGGTTGTATATGGCCTAAATCGGCTACTACCAAATGCATAAACTTCTAACTATTTAAAAATTACAAACTGGAAAAAAAAAAAAAGATTAGGAGCAGATTTTTAAAAAATAGCAACTGTGATTATTTAGCCTGATGCTGGTGAATCGGTGATTGGTTTATTGCCCATGAAGATCTGCCCCTTGATCCTAAGGTCAGGCTTATGGTGAAGGCAGATGAAAATTTGGGCATAAAAAGCAAATGTTGTTTTCAATATGATCTAATGTTATTATGTTTGGTAGAGTTTACGCTTATCTTTAAGGAAATCTAGATTATGTTCTGTAAAACAGAATACTTTTAGGAATTTAGCTCAGAAAAGCCTGAGGAATAACTTAAAAAGATTTGGATTTCATAGAACCAGTTTCTCTTGTTGTTGATTTGAATATTAAAGCTGTCAGCTTCTGCAGAATTAAAACAAGATTTTAGAATGACACTGGAATCATCTTCAATACATTTTATTCAACTGAACAAGATTTGTATTTTTTTTATAAAATCAAGTACTGTGAATTTGTTGAGAGCTAGACAAGATATGTATTTAATCATTTAAACTTAAGACTGTAAAATGACCTATGTGTTTTTCAGATAAATGTTCAAAAGTAAGCTCTGCTTCAGCAATTAAAAAAAAAAATCCAGAAGATCTGTTGTTATTATAGTCCTGATGATTTTCATAATTGTGAAATACTATGAGTCTTCCTACTGTGTATGGAAGCGGTCTCTCTGTAGAAATTTGTACACTATTCCGTTGACTTTGAGTTGTCAGCATCTAAAAGTGAATATGGTTTAATTCTGTGTGGCTTGAGTTCTCTGCCTTTGACAAGGAATGAGAGAGGGAGCAAAGAGTGGAATGGAAACTAAATTTGCAGTCCTGTGGTGAACTGCTTACTAAAGGTTCTTTGGATGAACTTCTTAATATAATTTATACTGGTTTTACTACTGTTTAACTGGAAGTATGTCTCTGGTTTTTGCACGGTAAAATCAGTTCTTAACATGCAAATTTAATGCTATTGCTAGTCATGCTGTATTGTTTATATACCTGCAACATTTAAATCTTAAAAGTGAACTGTAGGCTATAATACACTTTAGGAATAGGAACACTGATTTGATAATGAAATACAGAATACATTTATAAGAAAGCTTTTATATAATTTGTTTCTGATTATTTGTCTTGAAGACTCAATAACAGGAGAAAATGTTTTTGTTCTATGGACTTTTTTCCAGTTCAGGTGTTTAAAATTGCTTCTGAATACCTAGTTTTAATGTATTATTTCTAGAATGTAATTTTGTGGAAGGATTACTAAAATAAAATACTTATTGCAAAGCATTATGCTGCAAAAATGGTGAAGCTGTAATCCTTCTGCAAAGCACGATTCCTGAAAGATTGGTTTTCAGACTTCACTGGACATCTATTAAAGTATTTAAAATAAATAAGTAAATCAGACAGGGTAGAAATAACTTCTTGTGCCACTGGGCATGTGTCTAAGAATTGGTGAGCGTCCAGCTAGTGTTTGGGAAAGTGAGGCTTGATTAGAAGGCTTGACCCATCAGACCTCTTCTGCTTTCTCTTGGAGCACCAGATCTAGTGATGTTTGCTTTTCAGTTCATATTTATTCTCATCCTGATTGCCAGGTATTCTTGCTCTTCCAAACTGCCAATAAAGCCCTCTTTGCTTTGTTCTCTCCATATCCATCTCTCTCCAAAGCTCCAACCAGGAAAAAGAGCAAAATTTTCCAAATATGTACCTTTGCTTCGTAGTGTGGTACTATTTCAGGTAAACCCAGAGGCAAAAAACGCTGCTGGCAGAACACCTACAGTGGGTTGCAATGAGCAAATTCGTTGCTGTAGAGCAGAGAAACAGGCAGCCTGATGCCCTCGGCGAGAGGGGGGGGCTTGTGATGTAGTCTGTTATTTCTCTTACGAAAAAACAACAAAAAATCCCTTAAGCAATTGAATGAAATATTCATACAGGTGTTCTGTTTAAATAAGTCTGTCTCTGTATCTTACGTATCGCCCATATCACTCTTTTGTAAAGTTACCTCTACCTTTCCTCTAAATTACAATAATACAATCGCCAAATTCAGAATTTTAAATGGAACATGGTTGTAAATGGTCGCTCTGGCTCATTGACAAAATATTTGTATATTATTTATTTGTTTGATGGGGGACTTATTGCAAGCATTCATGGAAAATCATGTAATGTGAAGAAAAATAAAATTCTTTGTGTGCTGACTATGCCAGGACAAAAATGGCCAAACAAGTGCTAGTTGCGGTTTGCAATTTAGTGACTATCTTTTAAGAGTCTGCAGTTGCCTTGCAAGTATTAACTGAAGCTGACATAAAGAGTTGTGCTCGTGGATAAATGCTCAGAAGAATCCGGACACTGTTTGAACAGAGTCAAGAATTATCTGTGTGACTCCCAAACTAGAAAAACTCCAAAGCATATGTTTAATTGGAAGTCTGCCAATATTACTTGGGAAGGAAGAACATGGCTGAAGAGGCACAGGCACTTGAGAACATTGCTGAACTGGGACCGCAGATCATGGAAGTCTCTGGTTTCATCTTTGAAATGACAAGCATAGTGACAGTATCATAGAAACATCTAGGTTGGATGGGACCTCACCTGGGCCAATCCTCTCTTGAAACAGGGCTTTAGATCAGGTCATTCAGGGCTCTGTCAAGTTGAGTCCGGAGTATTTCCAGTGAGGGAAATTCCACTGTTTCTCTGGACAGTCTGTTTCAGTGTTTCATTGCTCTCTCTCTGAGCTCAGCTGCCATCAGTCCTGCATGCTGTTCTCCAGAACATGCTTTCTTTCCACCAAGGACACAGTTTCTGCTCCCTGCTCCTCTTGGCAGTTTCCTGTCCCCATCCTCAAACTGCAGAGTCCCAGCCTCTTGCTGTGGTCCCCTGCTTTTGGCTGGCTTCACTTAGGGAGGTGAGAGACCCACTCCGCCTGGAGTGGGCCCAGCTGCTCTCAGGGAAGGATTCAGTGCCCAGGACCTGCTGGCTCTGCCTCTTGGTGGTTGGTAGGACAGGATCTTTCCTGGCACTTCTGCATGGCAGGTACTGGGAAAACTGATCCCTTCCATCCTGGTGCATCTTCTTTTCCATCTTCGTACCTCTTTGTGCTGAATGAAAATTCTGCAGCATGAATGTGTGTCTCATGTTTTAATAGGTTCTGTGAAGTAGGGTCTAGATCCACAATGCAGCTTTTGATGTTCTGTTTGTAAGCAATCAGAAACTTTGAGAGTTTTTAAGAGCAAAAATAGTGAGATAATCAGCTTTCTGGTTGGTGGATTTTTTTTTTTTTTTTTTTAGCCGTTTCCTTATGCCTTCGAACATGCCTCTCCCTCTTTCCTCCACAATTATAATTTTGAAATTTGGTGTTATATGTTGTCTGAGCACGGTAGGGTAGAAGCCCATTAAATAAGTGTTTAAAAAAGTGGTCTGGGTACTTGAGAATAGTGTAGCAGAGAATTTTTGCATTGGCATGTAAAGGTCAATGAATATTCATAGGTTGCTGATGTAACAATTTCATGCACTTTTTTATATTTTTGCATTTAATAACAT